ATTTTTACAAGAATTGTTTTATTGTTTTAAAAAAATGTAATTAAAATAACTTATAAACTTTAGTGTACTTTAATCATTTTAAATTTCCTAAGATAACAAAAAAAAAAGGTGTAACTGATTTTTAAAAAATTTTAATTGATTTTTGAACTAAGTTTGATTATTTGTTTACAAACTCGGGCAGAAATGTCCGATAAATCGAATTTACTAATTTTTTTTTTATTCAAGAAAAACGAATTTTTTAAAAAAATTTTAAAAATTTATAGGAAGGATTAAAAAATCTGAAAAAATATTCAAAAAATACTTTGGTCTTCTCTATTTAATTTTAACATAAACATTTACACGTTAAATTTTTTTTTATCCATTTGGGGACCTTTTTTCTCCAGGGTATACCACTTTTTTTAGCGTTACCTGGGACAAGCCTACTTTTAAGTCATTTAAAAATTGTATTAATTAAATTGTAGCGGTCAAGTGATATTGTTATTAAATTATGATTGTCATTACTAATCCTAAATGGAAAGGATCACTACAATTCAACGATCCCTACCCAATATTTTCAATATTTTAAAAAGGATTTTGAATTAATCTTATGTGTGTATAAACGTGACGATTTTTGTAAATACGGATGTCCAAACACGTTATTATCGACAAATAAAAGCATTAACTATAGGAAAGTTAAAATTTATTTGCAATTTTTCAACATTTCCTCAACATTTACTTCTTAATACTATAAAGCCAAAGTGCCTAAAATTAAATAAAATATTAGATTACTTAGAATATTTTCTTAAATTTGTCAGATTACTTGGAAGTTAAAAACGTATTTAAAAAGGCGTTCACGTTATATTCGTGAAGTAATTGTTACAGTTATGTCCACCTTAGAAAAAATTCCGATACATAAGTCTATCGACAAAATTGCTAACACTTCAAAAAACACCCACCTTCATGTAAAAGAATGCATTTCTGTGATATTTACACTTAAAACTAAAAGTAAGTAATATTTGTTCCAAAACAGATTATTTAACGTTTCAGCAAATCTCACTCAAATAATTTCAGAAAAGTATATTTTATTTTTAAAAGACTTTTATAATAAAGAGAATTCCGTTGTATACTTCAATATGAATAAAAAATTTAGCGTTTTCACTTATAATAATAAAAAAATCTCATTCCAATCAATTTATTAAATTTAAATTCAATGTGAAATACAACAAAATATTTTGCTTAATGAAAATAATCTAGCTTTAAATTAAATAAAATTAAATAAAAGTATCATTTTTTTAATTTTTAAAAATGCATTTTTTTTAAACCTTGGGTATCGTTTTCTTTGGAGGAATATATATATATATATATATATATATATATATATATATATATATATATATTATTTATAAGTTATTTTAATATATATAAATATTTAAGTAAATGCTCTGTTTAAAATAAACGATATTCACAACATTTACCGGTCTAAATGTCCGAGAAATCTCACAGGAAATACGTGTCCTCCGACAGGAATCGAACCATTATCCTATACGGAACCATCATATTACCTGACCTGCCATACCATTTAACTACAGTGGAAGCGTCTAGTTAGCAAGGTTAAATTATTGTTTTTTTAACTACAAACTTTCTATGATTTCTCTGGAATGCTCATATTAATATATTCATAATAACGTATAAAAAATATTAAAATAATTGTCGGACTTTGTCCATTTTATCTGATATATATGATTAAAATATAGTTGTATGCTATATTTAGGGATTAAAGTGCTCACTATCAGGGCAATCTCTCTCTTTATATACGAAGAATAAAATAAAATATAATATATATACTAAAACAAATCCACATTATAACCCAAAACGTTTGCGGTTTCTCTCTTTTTCAAAATATACATTTTTCTCTCGTTGGAACAACTATAACCTTTTCCACACACACACACACACACACACACACACACACACACACACACACACACACACACACATATATATATATATATATTTGTGTGTGTGTGCGCGCTTGTGTGCAAGTGTATGTGTGTTTGTGCTTGTGTAGATAATTATCATTGCAGTTTAACATAACATTACTTCATTTTGAAAATAAACGAAAAAAAAATTGAAAATACAATGAAATTTACTTATGAAGCTGAAACGAACATCACAAATTTTCTTTGATCTCTTTCTCTCTGTTTCTCTGTTTCTCTCTGTCTCTCCGTCTCTCTCTTCCTCTCTCTCTCTCTCTATATATATATATATATATATATATATATATATGTATGTATGTATGTATGTGTGTGTGTGTATAACGAATAAAAACAAAAAGTATACTTAGCTGACGTGTTTCGTTTTCTGATGGACATTGGCAAGGCAAATGTAAAAATTTTATTTTGCAAAAAGTACTTAAAAATTATGAACGCAAAAAATATACATCAAACTAGCTGAAAAGTCTAGATAAATTATGGAAGACGCTAAGTGACGCAATTTAATATTTAATAAATAAAAGTGAGTAAAAGTTGTTTTTGAGATTTTTTTTCTTATAATTTAATTAATATTTATATTATTTAGTTGCACACACACACACACACACACACACACACACACACACACACACACACACACACACACACACACACACACACATATATGTGCCGATATCAATCTGTTTATTTATTAAACAGTATATTTATAAATTTTCGTCTATTGGCCTGAATATTTGAGAAGTCTTATTGAAGACAA